AGGCCGGAATGCAGTTTGGTTCGGCCACGTCCTAGAGCCTCTTATAGACTGGAATCTTCTGAGGAGGACAATAGTGAAGATCTTCGCAGCAACGTCGATGAAGCTATAACTATGATTCAAACCTGATCCACGCGTAAGTCACCGTCCCTACAGCACCAGGATGTGGAGCATACGGTGGACATCGTCGCAATCGACGGTCGAAATATGGTTCATCAAATAACAAGGTGCGGTATTTGCAACACATCTAACGCGACCTGCGTGGAGAATCAGAAAATTCGGATGGAGAATATATTTAGGAGCAAAGACGAAAAAGTTAGTTCTATTGAACGAGTAATCCCCACCTAAATCAGTGAAGACGATGAGACAATACTAATTGTCGTATATTACGACTTTTGCCTGGTTGAAGAGCAGGGCCACAAATAAAGACACTACCTTTCTGTATTGCCTCTTTTTGACACTGCTATAAGAACTACTCTAGTCTGCATAATGACTGGGCACCATTCAGTTTACGTCTGAAGTAGACATGTTCACTCGTCTCCTAGGCCTGATCTAGTCTTTGCTTTTTAGGGAAGATGTTATAAGAAACAGGGTTGAGAATATGAAGTTAGAATGGAGCTTTGTAGCCATTACAGGGCGAATACGGCAAACATTTCAAAATGAAGAACATAAGCCGCCCACCTAAAAAAAAACAAATTGAAGGTAATATCATTTACTCGCCTCATTCCTCCAACCTTTAAGAGAAGGAAAGGTGGGAGAGTGACGCAAGTTGCGCATTACATCTTCCACGGCAGCAGTCCGTTCGGCAAAGCTTTTTAGGTTCGGATTGAGCCTGATACAGGGCTTTTCGGAAGACGGATCTACGCCTTTGACAAAAGCCTCGGGGTGTTGGAGCAGAGTCCCGCAGAACTCCGGATGGATGAGACCAACAAAATAGTTGTCTACGAAGAATTTCATACATACCTCGGAGGTGGAGCCTGAATTGATAAAAAGTAGACATCTTATAAGCTCTACGAGTCGACGTAGACAGAGTGTTATACGCGTACAATTATTCTAATGTCCCAATTGTACTGAGATTATCGAAGTATCCTAGGACAAAGTGTCCACATGTGACCTGACTTTCAAAGTAA